TCCAGCATAGCATTGCGCGGCATAGCATAGCATAGCATAGCATAGCAGAGCAGAGCAGAGCAGAGCATAGCGCAGCACAGCATCCACTATTGCTGCTGCTATATATATATATTCTCATACGCACCTCTCCGAGGGAGTAGAGCTCAGAGGGGATTAATGCGTCCGTGCGTCCGTGCGTGCGTGCGTCTTCGATTTTCCCGGCCGTTTCGCTAGGGACATCCTCAAAATTCTGAAAATCGGTTGCACCCCTCACGCAGATCGTGAAGGAGAGGTCCAAAAACACATAGGATTTTCAACATTTTAACATAAAACCTTCAAAAACACATGGTAATTTCAATAATTTTGACCCCGATTCTCAGAGAATGGCGGTTTCGCCTGAGACATCCTCCCAAAATCGAGCCCCAGACCCCTCCTCGGAGCCTCCTGGGGGCCTCCTGGAACCTCCTGGGGCCTCCTGGGGCTTTCTGGACCTTCTGGTACCCCAGACCCCGCCTCGGAGCCTCCTGGAGTTCTCCTGGGCCTGCTGAGGCCGCCTGGGGCCTCCTGGGGCCTCCTGGGGCTTCAGAACTACATGCACACACAGAGACACAAACCACGCCCAGCACATTACACGCTAGACAAACACAACATACACACAACAACACCGACAACACACAAAAAGCACGCACCACACAAAAAGCACACATCACACACACACACACACACAACACTCACAATCCTGGGGCATCCCGGAGCCTCTTCTGGTATCCAAGTCGGGCCTCCTGAGGCTTCCTGGGGGGCCCTGGTATACACATCGCAAGGTGTGGCAACCCCACTTGCGCTCGAGTGCGACTTCGCTGTTGCATGTCACTCTTGCTTCAAACGCCACTTCAGCTTGTTGTATGAGCCTGGGCACACACGTGCCACTTGTATAATTATATGTGTGTGCGCACGTATGTTCCATGAACGTTGTCCGTTTGTGGGCCATCTTGAGCCCTACTAATGTTGCTTTCCTAGAGGCTCCTACGAATGCTGCTTTCCCAAAGGCTCCAACTCCTAGGTAGGGTCGCACTGGGATAATTCCCACAAGGTTGAACTTCGAAATCCCATTAGAAACCTAAGACGGTGTGATGAATAGAATTTTGTCCAACTTCGCAATGAAATGGCCCTGCAGGACTTTGCGAAACCTGCAAGTGGCCTCGCTCGCTGAGCGCTCTGGGCCGAAACGGCTACGCATGCGCATACATCACAGCTCAGGGGAACCAGATTGTTACGACAGATTTGTACAATTTGCTCCCTGATGGGCTCTTGCGCCCAAAAGCTAAGCTATGAAACCGCCACCTACCCCAACCTACCAACCGTTAAGTCACTTATTGAAACACGTCCAGAACCGCATTGGCCTCGGACCTGTTGACGTCTACAAGACGGTGCAGGAGATGTCTGGAGCTAAATTTAAACGAAAACCGCACTCTCACCCCCACATCCCTGCAAAGATTCACCACCCTTTGGGAAGGGCGAATTCCCATTCGCCGTGGTAAGGGAGGACTAAAAAAGACTGCACCTGGTCGCGCAGGGTACGCACCGTTCTGAAATTGCTGGGGCTGGGCAAACTACCGTTGGTTGAAACGTACTGCCGCGAAAAGGACTGCACCTTCTTCCGTGCAATGCGAGAGTTGCTGCACAGTTCTGTAAAACGCTTGACCATGCTTTTAGGCCACGCTGCATGCACGTGCGTGGGATGAGCACTGGAACAGAGGAGGGGGGTGTAGAGGGACGTGGGCTTCACATGCACGCGGAAATCAAGAAATCCAGTGTGGTGCCACCGCACGCCCTTATACAACACCACGACTCATATGACGGCCGAGATCTCGGAAACAGATTCCGTCTTCAACCTGAAGAAACGGCTCTTCATCCTCAATATATCAAGCGGTCGGTCCACTCTTGTCCGATTTGCGCCGCTGACGATAAAGAGAACATCATCTTTGAAGCGTCAGCAGAATCGAATGCCAAATCTCTGCGTAAACCGTTCATTGTTCATCACCCCCTCCTCCACCATGAAGTGGAATGCAGTATCGCTCACTTCTCCACTACAGCCGAGCCCCATGCCTGTTCCTATCTTCACCGTCCAGGAAACATTCGGCACGCCTTCCACTTGCACAATCTGGTTGCGCAGAATTGCACGGAGCATGATTTTGAAGGCAGTCCTTTCGCTGCCCTCTGGCACGCCCCTGCTGGAGTACTCGACGAGGTCATTGTGCTGACCACTCATGTAGAAGTCTTTGATGTCTATCTTTATCAGGATGTCATCGGCCGCGCACTTCATGAACTTGATGCGCTGCAGGAGGTCTCTACTGTCTCGTAAGATATGGGGTTGCGTCTTGATGAATTTCTTCAATGTGCCAGACACCCATTTCATTCCACCTTTCATAGGGTTGCATGGGGATGCGTGCAATGGTCTGAGTTCTACTCCGCCGACGTCTTTGTGAGACTTGATGGTGGCTTTCATCTTGGATACCATGCCCGTTGCACCACCTCTTGCCCACGAAAGCATAGCGAAGATGAAACGCTTGTCCTGTAAGGCGCCTGCTTCCTCATGGACTGCAGACCGGTAGTCATCGAAATATTCATCCGCCATGTCGTGTTCCAACTGTCTGTATTTGTCACTCTGAGTCAACCGTACTTTCTCTAAGACGATGGCCCACTTATTGATTAGGCAAAATCCCCCATCCTTGTCCGTCGGCAAAACGCCCATGTCCCCTCGACGGAGAATCGAGAATGCAAGCCGGTGCACCTCGCAAAAAATGGCGATGGAAGCACGTCTGCTTGAGAACTTCCCTCTTGCACGCCTGCACTCTTGCCAAACGCCGTCAACCACTTCGGATATGAAAGCGTTCTGCGAATCAGAGATGGGGAAGTTACACACGGGCGTGGAAGCAAAGTTAGCGCGGAACCGTCTGAACGGGTTATCGTCAACATCTTCGCCCTGAGCCGAAGGTTGGTTGACGCCAAAATAGAATCTCCAGTGCTGCTTGTTCGCCCATTGTCGCAAGCATGTGGAAATTCGTGCACGGTCAGGAGCATGTGGAAATTCGTGCAAGGTCTCCTGGGAGCCAAGCAAAAGCAACAGCAAAGGTAAAAGCAAATGCGTGGTTCCCCCAGTTGCGCTCCCTGGGTGCCAAGCAAAAGCAAAAGTGAAGGCAAAAGTGAAGGCAAAAGCGAAGGCAAAGCAAAAGCATAGCATGGCATATCATAGCATAGCGCAGCATAGCATAGCGCAACATAGCATAGCATAGCATAGCCTAGCCTAGCCTAGCCTAGCCTAGCCCAGCATAGCATTGCGCAGCATAGCATAGCATAGCATTGCATAGCAGAGCAGAGCAGAACAGAGCATAGCATAGCATAGCGCAGCACAGCATCCACTATTGCCGCTGCTATATATATACTTATATGTGTGTGCGCACGTATGTTCCATGAACGTTGTCCGCCTGTGGGCCATCTTGAGCCCTACTAATGTTGCTTTCCTAGAGGCTCCTACTAATGTTGCTTTCCTAAAGGCTCCAACTCCTAGGTAGGGTCGCACTGGGATAATTTCCACAAGGTTGAACTTCGAAATCCCATTGGAAACCTAACAACAAACTAAGACAAACTGCAAAACAAGTAAGGAGCACTGAGCCCCTCCCCAACGAAAAGGGTTCCTTCTTCAGCGGTCCAACTGTAACCGAGATCGCGAAGACCACGCAGTCGACCAGCTGGTTTACCAGTCCGCAGGTATCGAGAGAGGCGTCCACGCACCGCACGGCGGCTGCCGCAGGATGCGCGAAAGGAGTCCACCGGAGCCGCCGAACCTCTGAGCCCAAGGGGCCAAACATTACAGGCCACCTTCGCTGTGGTTGCTGCCCATCGTTCGGAGTTCTGGGCTTCCCTCGCTCGTGGCGAAGGAGCAGGCGTTCGGGGGGCGGGTGGGCAAACAACCTGGCGAACGTGACCCTCGTGATCCTCGAACTCCGATCAAGTGACCCTCGAACCTAGATCCTCGATCCTCGATCATCAAGCCTCGATCCTCGAACCTCGATGCTCAACCTTACGGCATCGATACTCGAGCCTCGAGCCTCGATACTCAGGACTGTGAGCCTCAAATCTTGATCCTCGATCCTCGACCCTCGATCCTGGATCCTCGAGCCGAGCCTCGAATTGGAGGCCTCCCAAATGAGGCTGGCTGGAGTAGCTGCGGTCGGAGGATCGAACCGCATCGCGAGCATCGCAGGTGAATCGGCGACGTCTAGATGAAGAAAACGAGTCTCTAAATCACGCAGCCTCACCGATGCATCGGCGATGCGAGTCGATCCCCGCTTTGGGCCTGGACGAGCCTTGCACGTAAGGGCCCAAAGGCCTCGGGCCCTTCCCCAGGGCCAGCTTGTTCGGGGGGGCGTAAAGTGGGATAGGGACACAGGTGGGGTTAGAGGAAAATCGCTCTAGACGGCCCCTAGAAAAAGAAAATGAGAGCCTCCAGCTGGGTCCCCTAACCCCACCTTAGGATAACCACCCTCCCCTCTACGAGCTCCCAAGCTTCCGCCACGGATCCCTTCTGAATGGTCCTGGGGCCCAGTACAACGGACTGCGGGGGCCGACACCGAAGGAACGCGCCCGGAACGAGACGAGCACCACGCGCTGCCAGGGAGGAGGAGGAGGAGGAGGAGGAGGAGGAGGAGGAGGGAGGAGGAGGGGAATGACTGAGGAGGAGGAGGGAGGAGGAGGAGGAGGAAAAGGAGGAGGAGGAGGAGGAGGAGGAGGGGGAGGAGGGGGAGAAGGAGGAGAGGGAGAGGAGGAGAAGGAGGAGGAAGAGGAGGGGGAGCACCGCGAGCCCCTCTGAACTTTTCTCTGCCCGCGAGGCGGGGGGAGTTCCGGGAGCGCCGCGCGCGCCGCATTTCCGTGCGCGCGCACGTCCAGCGAGGGGGCCGCTATCGGCGGGCGCCGCCAGAGCTCCCGAGGGCGGCCCGCGGCGGACTTCGGGCGAACGCCGCCTCGGTTCCTGCATGTCCTCCTCCTCCTCCTCCTCCTCCTCCTCCTCCTCCTCCTCCTCCTCCTCCTCCTCCTCCTCCTCCTCCTCCTCCCTCTCCCTCTCCTCCTCTCCTCCCCCTCCTCTTCCTCCTCCTCCTCCTCCTCTTCCTCCCCTCCTCCTCCTCCTCCTCCTCCTCCTCCTCCTATTCCTCCTCCTCCTCCTCCTCCTCCTCCTCCTCCTCCTCTTCCTCCTCCTCCTCTTTCTCCTCCTCCTCCTCCTCCTGGTCCTCCTCCTCCTCCTCCTCCTCCTCCTCCACCTCCTCCTCCTCCTCCTCCCCGTGCGGGGGCCCACCGAGCTCTGGCGTAGTGGCGGGGCAGCAGCAAGCAAAGACGGCCCGAGGACCAGAGTAGCTGCACGAACACAAGCGTTCGCAGGCGCGCGCGCGGACTTCTTGGATCGGCGCTGGAGCGCGCTTCGCGCGCCAAGAGAGGAGTCCAGCGCCGATCCAAGAGATTCGCGCGGGCCTCCTTCAGCGCAGCCAGGCAGCCTCCTCAACCCCACTCCCCGGGTGATGGGGGAGGAGGGGGGTGAAGGATGAAGGTGGAGGGAGGAGGAGAAAGGACGAGGAGGAGGAGGCAGGAGGGCAGGAGGCGGTGGACGAGGTAGGGCTTGGTGATGGCTGTTGCCGATGAAGCAGTTGTATGTGTCCAAGCATGTGTGCCAGCCTGGTAGCAGTAAAGAATCGTTTGGGAAACGGTTGGTGCATGTGTTGTCGGCTGTGTTGTAATAGCACTGCGTAATGCCAATCAGCGCATCAGCCAGCCTCCCAACAGCCGCACCGACTTCAGGCTACGGACGCCGAAACTGCCGGGGATGAGGAGACCAGCGCGCTCAACCGCAGCGACCACCGCACCGAGCTGGTCTCCGAAAGTGGCACAGGAGATGAACCCGACGAAGGCCGGGCACGTAAGACACCCAGGACGTCAGAACAAAGGGGAGGATCGTCCTCAACAGGCCGGGACGCTACACGCCAGCGCAGAATCTGGCGATCGAGGGGGAGGAAGCTCCTCGTCGGCCCAGCGCCTGGGCATCGCCAACCAAGAAGCGCCCCAGCGACATAGAACCCCGCAGATCGACCCTGGATATACTCGCCATCGCGACCCCCATGAGGCGGCCTACATGGTGCCTCGGATGCAGATCAGCTGGCATCGCACGTGGAAATGCGGTGGTGGTGTGGTGCGTGTATGTGTGTGTGTGCGCGTGTGCGCGTGTGCTGTGATGTGGCGTCTTGGTGGTTTGGTGGTGGGTCAGGTGCGTGCGTGCGTGATGGCGGTGGTGGTGGTGGCGGTGGTGGTGGTGGTGGTGTGTGTGTGTGCGTGTGTGTGCGTGTGTCTGTATGTATGTATGTATGTATGTATGCATGCATGCATGCATGCATGCATGCATGCATGCATGCATGCATGCATGCATGTATGTATGTGTGTGTGTCTGTATGTATGTATGTATGTATGTATGTATGTATGTATGCATGTATGTATGTATGTATGCATGCATGCATGCATGCATGTATGTATGTATGTATGTATGTATATATGTATGTATGTATGTATGTATGTATGTATGTATGTATGTATGTATGTATGTATGTATGTATGTGTGCGTGCGTGCGTGCGTGCGTGCGTGCGTGCGTGCGTGCGTGCGTGCGTGCGTGCGTGCGTGCGTGCGTGCGTGCGTGCGTGCGTGTGTGCGTGCGTGTGTGTCTGTGTGTGCGCGCGTGTGATGTGGTGTGACGCGGTGTAGCGTGGTGGTGGTGGGTGGGGTAGTGCGGTGGTGGTGGCGGTGCGCGGTGGTGGTGCGCGTGCGTGCGTGCGTGCGTTGGTGGGTGGAAGTGGCGGCGGGCGCGCGCGCGGCGGGGCGGGGCGCGGCGCGGCGCGGCGGTGGCGGGCGGATGGGTGCGCGAGAAAGAGGCCCGCGCTGGGGCGAGAACGCCATCCTGAACGACGGAGGCAAAACACCGATCCGAAAATGAAGCCCACGCTGCAGCGGGAGCACGATTCGGAACGATTCGGGAGCAGAAATGAGGCCGGCGCCTCAGCGAGAGCAGCATTGTTTTAATAAAAATAGTATGAATATTACTATTATTATTACTATTATTATTATCATTATTATTATAATTATAAAATGCGAAAACACAACTCCGGGGAATCGCGCGCGTAAAAAACAGCACGCGGGGGAGGGGGGTGCCGAATGCGCAAAAGACGCCATCGGGGGAAGAGGGAGAGTAGTAATTCACATTGAGTAACTGTGGAGGAGGAGGAGGAGGAGGAGGAGGAGGAGGAGGAGGGGGAGGAGGAGGCGGACCAGGACTCGAGCGCGCGCGTCGCCCCTGCTATCTTGGCGGGGCACTGCGCCACGTATCTTGGCGCGCCCTTCACATTGAGACTGGATGCGCACTGCGCAAGATACAACGTTGAGACGCAATGCCCAGCGACGCAAGCAACGCGCGAAACTGCCCGCGTATCTTCATATCTCGGCGAACAGGCCCAGGGGTGCGGGAGTCGCCGCCCTGCGAGGAGCAGATGAAGAGGGCCCGAAGCAAGGCTGCGAAGTTCGCTCGGACGCTGGAACTGGGCCAGCTGGGTGATGACACACTCGAGGCGCATGAGGTCGCCAAGGAAAAAAGGGGCGGAAGCCGCGACGAGGTTCAGCGGGAACGCAACATATGATGGCTAGTGCAATCGCGGCGTGGCCCCGCCGAGATCGTTTCCCCCGGTCCCATTGTCTCGCGTGGGGCCCAGCTTCCCGCGCCCCCTCGCCATTCCAAATACGACAGGTTCATCCGCGGCGTCGTCGGGGAAAAAAGGATAATGGTCAGCTGATGATCAAACCAGACGCGAACGTCATCATGGACTCCCACTAGTGCGTTGTTGTATATTTCAGCATGCGTGCGACACGTGCACATTGCATATTGCCTGTGCCATGGCATGTTGCGCTGCGTTTGTGCCCGCGCGCTTACTTGCCGCCGTGGGAAGCACTCGCTGAGCATTCTTTCCAAACAAAAGAGCTGTGGTTGATGGGAACTGGCTGGCTCATGAAGCTTGCTCCAGGGCAGTGGCCGAATATGGGCGTCGATGCGTGGGAATGGGTCTCTACTGATTATGCGAAATCATATGTTATGCGCACGCCTTATGACATGATGGTTTCACAGCGCGCTATTGCACTTGCACGCGGTGCCAATTTCGACGGAGACGTCATATTCCATCACAACCAGCTGCCGCGTAAAAATTGGTCGTTGCCCGGCCAGGAGCGGCGCACCATCGAGCAGACGAAGAACTCACCAAAAGGTCCGTTGGTTGAGGGTGTCTGCGTGGTCAGGTGCGCTATTATTAATTGGAAGGCTCGCGCGGGCGCATGCGCGTGTAGCTCTGCGTTTGCATGTGCGTTCGCATATGTACCTGCCCGCATATGCTTACACGCGCGCGTCCGATGTCAGTCGCGCGTCGCGCGGGCGGTTTCGGCGCAGGCAGCGCGCAAGGCTGGCGTCGACGAAGGCTGTATCAAGACGTTCGCGACAGATGCTGGGCAGGACTATTCGTACTACCACGGGGCTAAGACGTCGAAAATCAAAGAGGACTCGAGGGCCATCGCGCGCGACAAGAGCGGCGGCGCGGACAAGGATGCGCTGGAGAGGCTCAACGCCTTGCTCGACGAGTTCGATTGGGGCTGGGGGGCTGGGGGCAGCCGTGGCAAGGCTGGCAGGAGTGGCGGCAATATGCTGACCAACAAGGATCAGAAGGACGCCCTCGCTTGCATCTTGCGTTTGCGCGCGCGCCCCCATGCTGTGCGCAATTTTGCAGCGCGCGTTGCGCATTGTATCTGGGCGCGCACTCGCAGCGCTACTGTGAGGCGCAGCAACTGATCGCAGCGCCTCGCCATGGCTATAACGAATGTATTGTCGAACGGGGGACATGCCAGCGATGCGATTTCTGCCCTCCAGCCGCGCGCGCCCACCTGCATGCAATGTCGAGAACACCCAGCCACCCAGCCACCCACAACTTGCAACACACAATGCATTCCCAGCTGCTGGAGAAAGGCGAGATTCCAGAGAAGCTCAGGACGAATGTGGAACAGGCTTGGCGGGCTTCCTTCAACGCGCGCAATCGAAGATCGGATGGATGCCCCATCCGCATCAGCTCCTCGCCCTGCACTACGCCGCGCCACGGGCCGCGGCAGAGCTTGAAACCGACGCCCCAGACAGCCCAGAGCCCTGCGCGAGACCGAGGAGCCTGGCCACCATACAACTCCACGCCGCTGCTCGCACTGCCGAGCGAAGCAACTTCGGCGCCAGACCACTCCTGAACGGCAACATCGAATTCAGGCCCAATATACAGGATAACGGGAATCACGCCGCCCTGCACGAAGAGCACACCACGCCCGCGCTCGTCAACATCATACTCCGAGACGGCGACCAAGGGCGCGTCCGCTTTCCCGACCTGGCCGCCCTGTTCCGCTGGGCGCAGAGCCGGGCGGGCGAACCTCCCGCCGCCCCAGAAGGGCAGCCCGGGCCCTCTCAGCTCAGGGACGCGCCTCAACGACGGAGACACCGACCCGAACCCACCCTGGCCCGTCAGGCCCTGCCCCCCGACGGCGCTGGGGGGCCACTTCTTCGGCCCCTCGCCACGGTGCCAGACCTGCGGGACATGGACCGTGAAGGAGACCCTACCCCTAACGTCTGCACTGTATGTTTGCGCCTTCGGCATCCCCTTGGCGACGGGGAAGGGGGCCCGAACCCCGACGATGGCCTATCGGACAGCTCGTCGCACAGCTACGGCCCTCCACGAGGGCGGAAGGCCCCAGCGCACGACCTAGACCAGTCAGGCGACGACATAGTCTACCACCTGACGGCCGCTGCAAACTGGCACGCCCCCCGGGCCCACCTCGCCCACTCCTCTCCAGGCCCGGTGGACTACACTGTGACCTGGCGTGTCGGAGAACTACTCCGCGCCTGGCGGGCAGACCACGACAGCCCCGGTGACCCCCTCCGACCATGCGACCTCTCGGGCCTAAGAGCAGCGGATTCCCTTGCGAGGGACTCGAACCCTGGTTGCCCCGCGACATCACCGGCAGGGGACCCGAAGACCGCACGGCGCAGGAATCCTACGCAACGGACGGCGACGAATTCTCTGGCTTCCCAATGGGCGTCCCTGAATCAGAAGGGAAACAACACGCACCACACACAACAAACTACATGCAGAAACACGGAAACAACGTCGATCCTCGAGCCTCAACCTTCGAACCTTGGTGTTCAACCCGCTGACGCACCGCCCTCAAATCTTCGATCCTCGAATCCTCGATCCACGAGCCTCAACCTTCAATCCTTTTTTTTTGCGTGGTAGAACGAATCGGTCCACTGTATATGCAGCGTGTGATGGCAGAGCTCGGTGGAGAGAGAGAGAGAGAGGGATGGGAAGAGGAGAGCCTCAACCTCCAATCCTTGAACCCTTCACCATCTTCGACCCCTCGAACCTTCGATCGTCGAACCTCGTCTTCGAAACAGTCCTCGAGCACCCGCGACGGCGCAGCCGCCGCGCCGAGGCCACCCGAACTCTGCCGGTGGCTGGCGTCCCCCCCCCCCGGAGCAGGCTCCAGGCCGGGAGCGCCCGCCCGCCCTGGGCAGTCCGCCGGGAGCGGGCGGCAGGGGCCACGAGAGCTCGGCGGCGAGCCAGGGGGGAGTGCGAAGAAGGATCGGCTGCAGCCAACGCGCAGAACTCGAGCAGGGGATCGACAACTGAATTGACTGAATCCGAAATGGATTGTCTCGTCGAATCCAGGAACATGGCGTGCAATGTTCGTAGATCTGTACGAACAGTATACGTATCTGGTTGTAGAGTCGACGAGGGGGGTGGATCAATGTTTCAGTTGATCCTGTACTCGAGTGGTAAAGATGCGCGGTAAGGGTGCAAGGGCCTGGGAAGGCCATGACGGCACTTTGCGAGTGGGGCCCGGCCAGCGAGAGTGGGCAAGGATGGGCCGAAGGGGAAGTCGGATGCAAGGCTAACCTTGGGAATTCTCTCATCCTTACAATGCGGGTTGACTGTACGCGCAAAATTGACCCTGGGTAAGAGTGACCTTTGGTGCGCGGCTTTTCGGGGGTCGCGGAGATCAACCACAAGCGCGCAAGACGCTACTGCCGCATCGCGTTCGGCGATCGGGGGACCCCAGTAGGCCCGCACCAAAGGTCACTCTGGTGAAGGGTCACTCTTACGCGTAGTCGAGAGAAGGCCTTCTCAGAAGGTGGCGGGACTTCTCAGAGGCACTCGCGCCTTCTGAGAGGTTTTCTGTGTCTTCGGGGAAGGCTCAGAAAACTTCTCAGAAGGCCAGAGGGCGTCCGAACCTTCTGAGAAGGCCTTCTCCTTCTCGCTTCCCCCCGGGCGCGCCGCCGAAGAACGGCGCCCGTGCACCGTATCGTGTCTGGACTCCCTTCAGGCAAATCTTACATCTTAACGGGGATGTTGGCGCTGTCGTCGGCAGAATCACGTTTCGCAAAATCCAAACCATCAGCGACGACACGATCCTCATGTTGGCCAGCATCGGCGGCGTGTCGGATCATGCGTTTCACAACGGAGCGCCGAGGACAGCGTTATGCCCGCTCCAACTCGGTACGGCGCATAGCGTTGGGTCCTGAGGGCCGGAAAAGCTGAGGCACCGTACCATTCCTTGGTCGAGGAGCGACGACGCCTCGGGAGGCGCCAACAAGGCACGGTGCACACGAGTCGTCCGCGGAAGGGGGAGCCTCTCGCGGGCGCGGGGAGGATGGCCAGGCGCGCCGCAGACAGGGGAGGGGAAGGAAGCCTGAAGGGATGGGGAGCCTCGATCCTCGAGATTGCCTGGGGGTGGGTTCGGATGTTTTCGTCTGCCACTAGTTTCTCTCGCTGCGGGATGTCTTCCCGCAGCTGCGCCTCGTCGAGAGCTCTTCGGGGCTGCTCGAGTCGTCCCGCGCGGCCGCGGGAGGCCGGAGCTGTGGCCCGAAAACCATACAGTGGAGGCCAGTCCACAAGAAACCCAATCCTCATACCTCAGGACGTCCATTGATTTTTGGTGTGGGAACGTCACGCTTTCCATAGCAAAAACCAGCGAAACCCAAGAAACCCAGGGCACCCTGGAGGCAAGCAGGGTGTTTCTTGGGATGGGTCTTCACTGTACTTCCTCGCGTCGTGGAGGAAGCACGACGGGAGGTTCTGCTGCCTTTTCGGGCCTCCTGGGGCGCGCTCGGGGACATGGCTGGATAACCCCACGGGGTGCTGGCCGCAACGCGCCCGGGCCCCAGGAGGAGGAGGAGGAGGAGGAGGAGGAGGAGCAGGAGCAGGAGAAGGAGGAGGAGCAGGAGAAGGAGGAGCAGGAAGAGGAGCAAGAGGAGCAGGAGCAGGAGCAGGAGGAGGAGGAGAGGAGGAGGAGGAGGAGATATGACAAATGCGGAGAAGGGAGGGCGAGGGAAGAGGGGGAGGGTGAAGGATGGCGCGGGAGGGAAGAGGCGGCAAGGGACCCTCGACCCTCGAACCTCTCGGAGGGAGCGCTGGGCGAGCGCGTCGCAGCGGGGGAGAAGGAAGGCGAGGGGGAAGGGGGGCAGCGGCGAGGTCTGGAGGTCTTGATCACGACTTCGGCCCCTGAGGCCGACTTCGGGCCCCAGCGCTGTTGCAAAAGCGAGGGCGGATGGTGAGGATGATGATGAGGATGAGGATGAGGATGAGGATGAGGATGATGATGATGATGATGATGATGATGATGATGATGATGATGATGATGATGATGATGATGATGATGATCATGATGATCATGATGATCATGATGATCATGCTGATCATTGTGGCCAAACGCCCACGAAGGCCGCACTCCCCGACAACGCACCAGTACTCAAAGCTGCAACCCCAACCCCCAACCCCCAGGGGAGAGGAGAAAGTCGTGAGCAAGACCAGTGGACCATCAAGTGTGTGGGAAAGAAGGAAGATGGCGAGCATGGAGGAGCAGGAGTAGGAGGGGGAAAGAGGAAGTATGATGATAAGGAGGAGGGAATATGATGATAAGGAGAGGAGGATGGCGGAGGAGGGAGAAGCAGGGGGGTGGAGGATTAAGGATAGCGGATGGATGGGAAGGATAAGAATGCGGGAGGAGGAGGAGGAGGAGAATGAGGGAGGCGGATATACGAGGGGCGAGAAGGATGGAAGATGAAGATTGAGAAGCAGGAGGAGGAAGGTATATGAGAAGGATGAAGATGGAGGTACAGGAGGACGAAAAAGAAGGGCCCCTCGTCACATTATACTGCCCCCAGGGCCGTTTGTGCAGGCGAGTGTTGGAGGAAGAGGTGGGGCCGTATTATCAGGTCGTCTTCGCGAGGCCGAAGCACAAGGGAGGGCTGTCTTTTTTGAGGAAACTTGTAAGGCAAGGGAGCGGCCGCACTCTGTCATATACGTGTTCCCGTCTTCGCCACCGAGTCCTATGGTCTGCAAGCTTGCCAGTTTGATTCAGACGATGCGTTCTGGGCGTTCCTAAGCATACAGAGCTTCGTTCATTCATCCATTGAAGCGTTATGTCAGCTTTACATGTACAAGGTTGGCGCCCGCTGCTGGTTCTCACAAAACTGAGCAGCCTGCGGGCATCCCATTCCCATCATCGCCATTCATCACCATCATCATGAACTCACTTTCAATTTGGCATGGAGCGGGGATGCGGGGCGCGGATTATTGAGGCGCCTCCCCTTCGATGGGGGGAGGATATTTTAAGGTGCCCGAGCAGAGGGGGGGGCCCGGTTGTTTGAAGGTGGGGCAGTTTTGAAAGCGGGCATCGAGGGTGGGACAAAAAGATGCCGATATCGCTACTCCCTGGATATTTCTCCCGAAGTGCGTTCTGATCTGAAAAGTTATCGAGGGAGGAGGGCCCCCCCAAGGAAGCCCGAAAGAGCGAAGGCGAAGGAAGGGTGGCGCTATCGGCATTTTTCCCGCAGATCCGACGATGTGACTTTGCAAGATGCAGACCCAGGAGCCTGAACCAGCTCTAAGACGAAGCCAGAACGAGGAAAACATCGGGTGAGGATACATGGAGAATCTCTGTGGTCTGGCGGCTCTGGAGGATATTTCGGCCGCAGAGGCCTTCTCAGAGCGTCCCGGAATGCTCTGAGAGCGTTCCGAGACGCTCTGGAACGGATTCATCCTCGTCCTAGCCCCGTCCGAAGTTGTACAGTGCCATTTTGCCGCCCCCGTTTCATTTTTAATTGATGGGGCCCAAAAGATGGCCCCCAGATGCCCAAACTGGGGAACACAAGCAAGAATTGACCCAAACAATCCTTCGGATGTCCAGGTCTCCTCCCCTAAGGAAGTTGGAGGAGGAGGAGGAGAAGGAGGAGGGGTAGCAGGAGGAGAAAGATGAACAGGAGGAGGACGAGACAGGGGCAGGAAGACAGAGGAAGAAGGAGCAGTATGGAGGAGTAGAAGAAGGAGAAAGAAGGAAAGAGGAGGATAAGATAGGGATGAGCAGGAAGATACGGGAAGGACGGAAGAGAAAAAGCACAGACCTCCGACGTCGTGTCCTCTTCGCAACCTGGCCACCGAAAGTCTCGCTATCTTCCCCCTGACCCGCTCTTCATCCCGAGACGTTATGGGACGCTCCAGTGACCTGGTGAAGGCCCCGGGGGACGACAATGGCCGAAACAACAATCCTGCTCTTCTCACTACGCGAGGAGGTAAGGGGCTCATCAGCAAGAGGAGGATGGATGAGCAGGATGGGGAGGAGGATGAGGAGGAGGAGAAATGAGGGAGGAACAGGAGGAGAGGGAGGACTGCAGGATGGAAAGGGAGGAACACACAGGAACAGGAGGACACAGGAAGGACAGAGGCTGGAGAAGGACGCGCGGCCACAGAGGTCCGGACCCCGTCCCCGGGGCCAATTCTTCGTCGACTACGCACAAGAATGGCCCTGGGCAAGAGTGACCTTTGGTGCGCGGCTTTTGGGGGGCGCGATGGGGTAAAAATAAAGCGCGCAGGCCGCTGCTAAGACACGCACCAAAGGTCACTCCAGCGAAGGGTCACTCTTACGCGTAGCCGATTTCGCCTCAGAGGCCGAAGCCGAAGAGACGACACGCCTGGACTAAAAATGCGCCGTCGGAGGCCTGGGTGAGTGATAGGGAACGTTGGGGGCGGGACTGGCTCAGGGGTAAACCATCGACCTGGCATCGGCGATACATCGCCGATCGACCGGCGATAGGGCCCCGATGGAAAATCCGCACGGACGCAGGCCCCTGTCGGCGATCAATGTGCGAGTGGGGGTCGATGCGCCCCCCCTGAGACTCCCCCTCCCATCGTTGCCCCCCTGTGTGAAGAGGGAGGAGGAGATTGGAGGGAGGAGGAGGAGAAGATGGAGGAGATTGGAGAAGGAGGGATGCAGAAGAAGAAACAACTGCAATAAGCATAAACTTTTTGACGCTCCCCACGAAATTCTAGGATCGGCGCGCTGGACCCCCCTCCCTGGCGCGCGGAGCGAGCCAGGGGCGGCGCCAGAGGCGCCGCCAGCGGGGCCCGGCGCGGATCCAAGAAATCCGCATGGAGCGCCAAAAGGTTCTGCTCATGGCCTTTTTCTCTTCTTCCCCTTCGAGGACGAGAGTGGGAAGAGCAACAGCAGAACAAAAACCTGGAGGAGGGGGGGAGCCTACAGTGGAGACCCGGCGCAGGGCAGCGTGGGCACACTTTGTCCCAAGAGGCGCCCCGCGCCGGGCGCGCGCCGCCCCGGGGGGGAGGGCAGGGTCGCGGCCCCGTGGCGCGGGCGGCGCGCAGCCCCAGGCCCGGGAGCGTGCGCTCCCAGACTGTGGTCATAGCATCCTGCTCGTCCATCCCCTGTCCTCCTCCATCCTCCTCCTCCTCCTCCGGCCTCCTCCGTCCGCCAGATCCGCCGTTCCCTCTCCCTCCCCCTGCTACTCCCCTCTCCTCCGGCTCCTGCTGCTCCTCTGGCTCCTCATCCTCCTCCTCCTCCTCCGCCTCCTGCTCTTCCTCCTGCTCCTCCCTGCTCTGTCCTCCTTCTCCTCCATCCTCCTCTTCATCCTGCTGTTTCTCCTCCTCCTCTTCCTCCTCCTCCTCCTCCTCCTCCTCCTCCTCCCCCTCCTCCTCCCCCCCCCTCCTCCTCTTCCTCCTCCTCCTCCTGCTGCTGCTCCTCCTCCATTCTTTTTCCATGCAAATAACTTCTCCCTGTCGCACCCCGAGGCCAGTCTTTAGGGCGGGCTGGGCGTTTCGCCGGAGATTTCCTGACCATCTATGACTCTGAAGCTTAAAAAGTGGCAACAGCTCCACAAATGGAGGGCGGGTGGTTTTCAAAATGTGGCTCTCGCCTGAGCGCCGCGCACATTCGTTTTAAACATGTGCACGAGTTTCACGGATTGAAAGATGCTCATTTTCAAAATGTGGCTCTCGCCTGAGCGCCGCGCACATTCGTTTGAACAAACTGCATGAGCTTCACGGATTGAGGGCGTGTGGTCTTCAAAATGTGGCTCTCGCCTTAGCGCCGCGCACATTCGTTTGAACAAACTGCATGAGCTTCACGGATTGAGAGCT